AAGTCATACAAAAAGATTTAATTTACCTGCTCAAACATGTGTGGATAGTCGCGACGCATGTCCTCTTCTCGCTCCCAAGAAATCTCCTCAACGCCTCTTCGGTTCCACTGAACTTTCACCAAAGGAATTACCTTGTTTCTAAGCCTCTTGTCCTCTCTAACAAGTATACAAACCGGAATCTCAATAGTAGTCAAATCCTCCTGAAGCTTAATCTCTGGTGCATCCAACACTCTCTGTTGCTTCTCATCATACAAGTGCTTCTTGAGCATAGAAACATGAAATACATTGTGTATACTAGACATCGATGCTGGAAGATCTAGTCTGTATGACAGCTCCAATGTGCTCCAAAATCCGGAAGGGTATAATATACCTCGGTGCAAGCTTTTCCCGTCTCCCGAATCGCTAAATGTCTTTCATAGGTGATACCTTCAGCATAACCGAACCTCCAACCTGAAACTCCAAGGGTCTTCGTGTCTTATCTGCATAGCTTTTTTGCCGACTCTGAGTGGCTAAAATCCTCTCTCTAATCAATACTACCTTCTCAGTAGTCTGCCTCACAAGCTCTGGGCCAAGCATTAAGCTATCATCCATCTCTGCCCAGCATATCAGTGATCAACAAGGTCTCCCGTACAATGCCTCATATGGGGCCATACTGATCGTTGCTTGATGACTATTGTTATAAGCGAACTCTATTAGTGGAATATGCTCCTCCCAGCTACCTTGAAAGTCTATGACACAGACTATTGTTATAAGCGAACTCTATTAGTGGAATATGCTCCTCCCAGCTACCTTGAAAGTCTATGACACAAGCCCGCAACATGTCTTCCAACACATGATTCACCCTCTCCTCCCAGCTACCTTGAAAGTCTATGACACAAGCCCGCAACATGTCTTCCAACACATGATTCACCCTCTCTATCTGACCATCTGTTTGTGGGTGGAATACACTACTGTAAGATAATCTGCTGCCGAACGAATCCTGGAAACTCCTCCAAAAATGCGAAGTGAATACTGAACCTCGATCCGACACAATTGTATCAGGAACTCCATGAAGTCGGACTATCTCCCGAATAAATATCCTCACATACGCCTCAGTTGTATATGTAGTCTTCACTAGAATAAAATGCGCTAACTTCGTCAACCGGTCCACTATCACCAAAACAGAATCATTCCTCTTCTTCGACTTCGGCAACCCTACAATAAAATCCATAGAAATATCTGCCCATTTCCACTCTGGAATGGGTAAAGGCTGAAGTGTTCCTGCTGGTCTCTGATGCTCTGCCTTCACCTGCTGACAGGTAAAACACTTAGCCACATACTCTGAAATCTCTCTACGCATACCACTCCACCAGAAGTGTCTCTTCAAGTCCTTGTACATCTTAGTGGTCTCTGGATGTACTATGTACCTAGTACGATGTGCCTCATCAAATAACTCTCTCTTAAGCTCAGCACTGGATGGCATAACCAACCTACCCTTCATCCGTAGACCTCTATCTGGTCCAATAGTCCAATCAGCCTTAGGCTCTTTGAAAATATCCTCCTTTCGGATTTGAATCCAAGAGTCTTCCAGCTGAGCTCTGACTACTCTGGTACTCCAAGATGGCTGAACTAACACAGCTCCTAAAAATGCACTGATTCCACCAATCTCGGGTCTGAAATCAAACTGGCTAAGAGTAAGAAGATCTCTATACAATGAACACCTCAAAGCCGAAACCCGATGTCGACACTTCCTACTCAAAGCATTTGCTACGACATTCGCCTTCCCCGGGTGATACTGAATCATAAACTCGTAGTCCTTGATAAACTCAATCCATCTCCTCTGTCTCTGGTTGAGTTCATTCTGAGAGAAAAGATACTTCAGACTCTGGTGGTCTGTGAATAGTTCAAGCTGCACTCCATACAAGTAGTATCTCCATGACTTCAATGCAAATACTACTGCTGCTAACTCCAAATCATGAGTGGGATAGTTCTGCTCATGCACCCTTAACTACCGTGAGATATATGCTACTACCCTCTGAGCCTGCATCAATACACCTCCTAAGCCTGCCAACGATGCATCTGTGTAGACGACGAACATCCTGTCGCTACTTGGAATAGTCAAAACTGGTGCTGAAGTTAACTTAGTCTTCAAGATATCAAAGGCCTTCTGGCACTCCACACTCCAAATGAACTGTACGCCCTTCTTCGTAAGGCGCATAAGTGGCGACAAAATCTTTGAGAAGTCCTGGATGAACTTCCTGTAATAGTCGGCTAAGCCCAAGAAACTAAGAATCTCTGTCACCATCTTCGGCGGTTCCCAATCAAGAACTGCTGTAACCTTAGACGGGTCTACTGCTATGCCCTCTCTACTCATGACGTGGCCGAGAAATCTGACTTCTGAAAGCCTAAATTCACACTTGCTGAACTTGGCATATAACTGATGCTCCTGCAGAGTCCTCAAAGCTAATCGTAGGTGCTCCTCGTGGTCTGCCTCCGATCTCGAATAAATGAGGATGTCATCGATAAAAATAATCACGAACTGATCTAAGAAGAGACGGAAAACCCGGTCCATCAAGTCCATGAATACCGTGGGTGCATTGGTCAGTTTGAATGGCATGACCATGAACTCGAAAGATCCATATCGAGTAAGAAAGGCGGTTTTAGGAATATCCATCTCCCGAACCCGCAACTGATGATAACCAGAACGAAGATCAATCTTCGAGAAGAACTGCGCTCTCTGCAGCTGGTCGAACAAGTCATCAATCCTAGGCAATGGGTATCTATTCCGGATAGTGACCTTGTTCAACTCCCTATAATCAATGCACAATCTCATACTACCGTTCTTCTTCTTCACGAAGAGGACCGGTGCGCCCCACGGAGAATGACTCCGACGAATAAAACCCTGAGCTAAGAACTCGTCCAACTGGGTCTGAAGCTCCCTCATCTCAGCTGGTGCTATGCGATAGGGTGCGTGGGATATCAGGGCTGTGCCTGGCTGTAAATCAATACAGAACTCAACCTCTCTCACAGGAGGTAATCCAGGTATGTCCTGAAAGACATCTTGATACTCTGAGACAACTCTAGTCTCTAATAAATCAACACCCTGATCCCGTCGCATCATCTCCTCGATGTACGCCAGAAATGACTCCGAAAAACGGTTACCCTGAGAGGTTGCCACAATCATCTCGGACCCATCGGATGCCCGCAAATTGACTGTCTTCGCAAAGCAGTCAATACTAACATGGTAGGAAGACAACCAATCCATACCAAGGATGACATTGAACTCAGATATATGCAACACTATCAAATCGACAACGAACTCTGACTCATCTAAACTGATAGTACACCTCCTACAAACACTCTCCAGAAGCGATATCTCACCTAAAGGGGTGGAAACTGATAAAGGGGTGTCTAATGGCTGAGCTACGAGCTAGACTCTAGACATAAAATCATACGAAATGAAGGAATGCAAAGCTCCTGAATCGAAGAGAATATGGGCGGGAAAAGAATTCACAAGAAACGTACCCTCCACTACTGCTCCGCTAGCTCCTTGATCACACGGTACTACCGCATATACTCTGCCTGTGGCTAGAGACTGCTCTGCTATCAGTGCTGGAGAATACGGTACTATCTGCCCCTGAGGAACCTCCTGAACTGCACGAATCTGCCCCTCAGTCCTCTGTGCTGCTGGTGGTGCCTCAAGTCTCGTCTGCTAGCCCTGAACTCTGCCTTACTGTCGCTGCTGCTGCTAGTTCGGACCCTTGCCCTCCTGGGCTCCTGCTGGTGTGCTACGGCACTCCGATGCCTTATGTATGACCTTGCGACAGTTAAAACACACTCCCTGGAACTTGCGCTGCTGATGCGCTCTCTGATCCTGCTAGGGTCCCTTCTTATGAGGGCCTTGCTGCTGCTGTTGGGATCCAGAAAAAGGCCTCTTGTTCTTGCCCTTATCCCCTGTCTGCCCTACCTTGGTCTTCCCTTCCTTATCCCTCTGAAACATGGTAGTCTCAATCTCCTGTGAGGTGGCGGCTTTTGCTACCTCTTGAAATGAATAGAACTTCCTCGAGACGAGGTATCGACAAAGATTAGGACGGAGCCCTGCTAAGAACATCTGAGCATGGCGTTCTCCTATCTGCCACATGCCCATGAAGTGCAACAACTCCATAAATCTGCTCTCAAAATCTGCCATCGACATGTTGTAAAACCCAGTAAATTTGAATATTTTATGATAAATAATGATAAATATGTTATATGGTGAAAAATAATATATTTTGATGTTTGTAGATGATAAGAATTGATTTGAGATCAATTCAATGTATATTTGTGAAAATATGAGTGCAAATGCACAAAACATGCACAAAGGCCAAAAGAGTGAAAATCTGGGAATAATGACCAGTTATGAGTTTTTATGTTTTGCACACCGATGCAGTTAGAATTTGGAAAAGTGTAAAAGACCAAAGTTGTAGGTCTCTTCAGCAGCTTTCCAACAAGTCTTAGATCATCTCATTCCGAGGTCGTATGAGAAAGTTATAACCAAAATACCGAAGGGGTATTTTCCTAGTCAGACTAGGTTTCCTGGTTCGGGTATAACAGGTTTGTTTCGGGTTTGCCTCTATAAATACCTGTATTTTTCACGAAAATTTCTTTCTTTTATCATATCTAAGAACCCTAACAGCCACCAAACCCCCATAAATAGGGGTGGCAAACGGGTCAACCCGACCCAACCCGACCCATATAAAATTTGACCCGACCCATATAAGTATAACCCGACCCGACCCGTTTAATAAATGGGTCAATGTGACCCGACCCGATTATTAAGTGGGTTACCCGACCCGACCCATATAACCCGAATGACCCGTTTATCAAATACAAGACATATCACTACTTACAACATGAAGTTATTTCAAAGACATATTCAGTATTTAAATGTACTTCAACGAATTGCAAATATCGACAAACAAAAATACATCGATATAGCTCTTTAGACACAGAATAATCTAAACTAAGAACTAGCAACAAAGAATTTAACACAAGTAAATAAAGAGAATATACACAAGTTTACAACAAAATAGTTAGGAACTTGATTGCCATTATCATAGTCCATCTCCAAATTTACAAAAAATGCAATTACAGTTAACAAAAAATTTAACTGTCCCATTTCCAAATTTACAAAAAAATGTAATTACAGTTTACAAAAAATTTAACATCTCCAAATCTCCAAATTTGAGTCAAAAAATTCATTCTCAGAGTGAAGGCGATGCCCTTGGCGGCGGCGAGGGCAATGGCGGAGCATGATTCCCAGTTTAGCGGAGTGCGGTCAGATCCTCTGTTGCATATCTATGTGTTGATATCTATGTGTCTGGCATTGGTACCAAGTTTTCTGTTGCATATCTATGTGTTGATATCAGCACACATAGATATCAGTCTGGCACAAATTGCAGAATTTTGCATATAGCCTATTAGCCTTTACTGCAATCAATAAAAGTCAAATTATGTCTGTAAAGGTAACTTCTCACAAATCAAATGCAACTTGATGCATCACTACATTAGTACTTCAACTTTAAATGACATAATAACAAACAAATGCATTAAAAATCATAAAAGATGAAGATAAAGCAGCCAACCTTAGACTTTGTTTCACAACGAACATCAAGTTGCTGAACACGTTACAAGACAACAGCTCAATTTGTTCTCTACATTGATGCAATTCTTAATGAGATTTCACAGAGATAATCACCACCTTAATTCCTTTATAGTCTACGATTCACATTTGATAAAACAACACAATTATGATTTAAGATTACTTGACTGTGGATTTCCAACAGTATTTGAGTGCTAAAAATGCATAAATAGGATTATAAATTGTGTTAATGAGGCCAGGAATCCTCTGTCGTGAGGGTCAATGGCCCATCAATGAGCAACATGTATCAAATTTCTATTAGCAACTAAGACTTCAATATGGAAACAATCATGGTTAATGGTTTCGGATTATAAAATGATCTAATATGGCATTAGAAAAAGAAAAAAAAGGGTTATGAAGCTAACAATATTTATCCTAACAGATAAAAAAGTGCAAATGAACTCTACACTTCCATGTTAGAATGACGTTAAGTATAGCAATCCAGTAAACTACTGATGATGAAAACCGATAACGCATCAAAGTGAACATTCAGGACCAGGAAAGTATAAGAATAACTATAAAGTCAAAACATGGAAAGAAAAAAAAACATGGTCTAAAAATTCCTGATAAAGATTTTCAATCTAACAGAAACAAAAACTAAAATAGCAGATATCGCCTATTATCAATTGCATATCAACCAATGAATTGGAGTTTGTTCCACAAACTAGGAATATGCATAGAAAATCAAATTTATTGAAAATTTAGATGAGGGAGGAAAATCAAATTTATTGCTGATATAAGGGAGGAAAATCAAATTTATTGAAAATTTAGAGCTCCCAAGTTTCTTTATGGCTCGAGTATGTAAGGGGTAGATGACAAACTGTGTACAGATAAGGATAAGATATGAAAACATAGAAATTTACAAAAATTCCAAGGTCAAAACCAATCAAAAATAAAGAAAATAATGAGACTGTTCTGAAAAGTCTAATTTTTTGTTCAATCTCAATTTGAGGAGCTTTTCTCATTTCTGTTAGTTATTCTGTTTTCTTCAGTACGTGCGTATCTTAAATCAAAACTTCTGCTCACATGGAGTGATAATACTTAACTTTTTCATATAAGGTCAGTCGATCAAACATCTTTCCTTACATAGACTTCTTGCCCTCTGGTTTTTTATGTCAATGCTAATGCAGCAAGTTTTCTGAGAAAGCCAATAACTTCTGAGTGTATATTCAGGCTAAACGAATTGTAATGAGACTGTTCCGAAAAGACTAATTTTTTGTTCATTCTCAATTTTGAACTATTCTCATTTCTGTTAGTTATTAAAAGATATAAAAACAATAAAAACTAAGAGATATACTAATTACTTGAGAAAGAAATTACCCTCAAGACAAGTGACCTTATAGAAAGTGGCTAATAATCTCTTAATCTCCTCGACCTTATCCCATTCTTCTTGAGATGGACAAAGTCTTGAGTAGTTGGAATCACTCAATTGCATGTGTATAAATGCACGACGATAATATAAAACACTCTCAAGCATACCCAATATAAATGGGAAACAAGGATAATATTGATAATTCTTTTTCATAATATTGATAATTCGGGAAACAAGGATCAGAAAAACCCCATTTTATGCCCAGAGAATCATTTTGTCGAAGTTGCTCGAAATGATCCAAGTTCTGCAAGGTGTGTTGTTTTCAAGAGACTATAATTATGACAGGGGGGAAAATGCACCTTCCTATGTGAAATATGTGCATAAATCGTTATGAGATTTATGTTTGAATTCCAAGCTATCTTCATGTTCGCGATCTAACAGATATCTTTTCTTTTGTCCAGGAATTTTGACTGATGATATACTGGACACCAGCTTGTGTTGGATGCCGCAAATGTTACTGGGTTCTTTTGGCTTTTGTATGGTTTTCACTGTTTAATGTTGTGATTTTATTTGAGAATTGAGATATGACCATAACATTGTTTGAGGTCATCAAATTGTGAGATTTGTTTCTTTGAAAAAGTAGTTAATTGATTCTTACTATAAATTTTTAGTTAGTATGTCATAACTCTACCTGCTTACTGACGATGCCATTAAGTAATAGCTAAATCTTTAGAATCAAAACAAGTTTTCAGGCATTCGGCATCAACAGTTATAAGAAAAGTATTATTTTGCACCTACCAGAAAAGTATTATTTTGCACCTTGAGAAGAGAAGAGTATATATGTAATTAGAAAATATTACCTGTAATTAGAAAATCAAAATACAAGGAGTTTAGCTACCTATATCAATTGGCCTCCAAGGATTCACACAAAGTTTCTCTTACTACCGAGTTCAAATGCTATCTGTAATGACTACCATGCAAGCAGAAATCAAGCATATACAAAATAGCCATGATTAAATAGATAGAAAATCCCAAAATTGAAAGAAGACAGGATGAAAAAAACCCTAAACTTGATAGAACGCAAGATCAAAAAGCCCTAGCTAAGAGTGTACCCAAAATCCAGTGATTAGCTCGATCGGATAGAGGGAGGAGGAACTATGGCTGCTCGATGGAGAGAGGAGAACTCGAGCGCTCGAGAGGAGAGAGAGGAACTATGGTTCGAGGATCGCTGCCGCTCGCCGCCGCTCGCCTTTCGACGCTCGCCGCCGCTCACCGCTCGAGCTTCGTGATGCGATCTAGGGCTTTTCTTTCTCTCTGCGGCTTTTTTTTCGTTCTCTAGAGCGGCGCGTTTATGAGGGAGTGAGGGAACGAAGGGTTGTTAGACGGGTCGGGATTTTTGTTATACGGGTCAATAGGTTAACCCGAATTGACCCATTTAATAAATGGGTAAATTTGGGTTGACCCATTTATAACCCGACCCATATAAATTGATTCATACCAATTATAAACGCGTCGGATCGGATCGAGTTAATGGGTCGGGTCATAAATTGTCACCCCTAATGTACTTAATATTTTATCCTAAAATAGAATGGTGCAATAAAAAATTGTAACTTACACGTACGAAACTAAACTGTTAAAATATAAAAATTTCTCTCCAAAATAGGCCACCAGCCACTAGGCTTTGATAAGTCAGGCTACAACCCCAGGCGAGTATCATCTCTACTAATCCCCCTCCTAGTTTTTAAAATATTTTTTGAAGAGTTTTTAATGAGTTTTATAGAGCCTAATCAATTATTTTGTATATAAAAATTGGATCTTTTGTATATATGTATAAAGACTAGGTCTTTTCATGTTAAAGAGATTAAGCATGAAGTTACAAAAGTATTTTAAGATCTAAAAATAATTTAAACATTGTTTATCTGAATTTAGATGTCTTATGCTTCGTTTTAAAGTTTTGTGCATGATTGAAGGTTTACATATGATTTCTTGTGCAAATAATCATGCTTGTTATGTTCTGCTAAAAATCTGTTGTACATATATACTATTGAACTAGAAATTTTAAATAACAAATGATATCCAATTTGAACCAAAATAATGCCAATTGAAAGATATTTGAATCTAGTTTTCAAAACAGAAAACCATACCTAAAGATAGTTTTCCTAGAGAAAGATATACTCATTTTACTGATGATATATCCTGCAGAAAATCTGCTGCATATATAAAATGTTTGACTAGAAATTAGAAATATCATATGAACTCCAAACCGAGCCAAATCAGTGTCAAATGATAGATATGTGAGTCTAGTTTCCAAAACGAAAAACTATTCTTAAAAGAAGTTTGTCCAGAGAAAGATATTCTCAATTTACTAATGATATGTCCTGCAGAAAACTGCAGATGTGCTGATTTGAAATAAATTGATATATTACGTAAAGGTTTCTTGAGTTTCGCTCTTGTTTGTTATTTTTGAGAGAGTTTCTTGATCTTGTACTGCTATATACAATGCTTAAGAGTTGTTTAACATATGGGATGATGATGAACACCAGATATGGACACGCACACCGAGATATGTGCACGTACACTTAGATTATGTCGTGTTAACATACTTTTTGTCGCACGTTGAGCTGATGAATACATATGAAAGAGTATAGTTATTTCATGTATCCGGAAATAGGAAGATAAAACCTATTTGCCGCAGAACGATTGAGTAAGAGTATTACAAAAGCATCGTTAATTCATGTATCC